GAGAGTTCACAGCTGTTATAATTACGGCTGTCTATGCATCCACCCTCAAGCCAACATAGAGCAGGCGCTCAGGGAACTGTATGGGAACATAAGCGAGCAGGAAACCGTTTATTGTTATAGGGGACTTTAACAACGTCAACCTCAGGAAAAACGCTCCAAAATGCCATCAACATATCACCACAAACACGTGTGGTGACCGTATTTTGGACCACTGCTATTCTTCGTTCCGAGACGTCTACAAATCCCTCCCCAGCCCACTGTTTGGCAAATCAGTTTACTCTCCTTTTCTGCTCTTGCCTGCTTACAGGCAAAGACTGAAACCGGAACCACCCCCCCTATAAGGACATTTCAGAGCTGGACGGACAATCGGATTCCATACTTCGAGACTGTTTTGATCATGTGAACTGGAAGAAGTTCCGGGCAGCTTCTGATGTCGACATTGAAGCATACTCAGACACCATTACATGCTTCATCAGAAAATGCAAAGAAGACGTGGTCCCAACAAAATCTTTCAGTATCTACCCCAGCCAAAAACCATAGATCAATGGCAAAGTTTGAACAGCCCTATCAGTGCGAACTTCCGCCTAAAAATCCATAAATGCTGAGGAACAAAAACATGCAAACTACAACCTCAGGAAAACCCTCAAAGCAGCAAAACGTCAATACAGGGGGAAGGTAGAGGGTCAATTTAACACCAATAATACATTATGTTAATTACATCACAGACTTTAAAAGTAACAAACCCATCACTGTAAACATTGCTTCCGTGACCGATACTGAAACCGCCAGCACACTCTGTTTCTGTAGCGAACGTAACGAGATATTTCAGTCCCGTTAAAATCTGGAAAGCTACGGGCCCAGATGGCATGCCTGCATGTGTACTTAAGGGCACCTATGGTGAAAAATCGACTTTTCAAGCTATTTGGACAAACATATGTGTATATATAGTGCATAGACCATCATATTGGGGTGATACAAACACACCCAGTCCTTTTTTTTCCAATTTAACAACATAAAAACTGTGGACCAATTAGAGCGGTTTTCAGACCGACCGCAACTTTACGTAGGAGTGCGGTCCCCCCGCCCACCGAATTGATTGGCAGCTGCCACATTAACATGTTCCAGTAGTCACGTGTATATGTCAACAAGACCAGGCAGACATACGCAAAGCAACCGGGAATAAAAGATCTGTTCTGTTCGCTAGGATCAGCAATCATCATCAAATGTGATTAATAGTAAGTTTTACATGTTTAAAGTGTTTTAAAACAGTGCACATGTGTAATTAATTACAGCGATTTACTTAAGCTTTACTTCTTCAGCACAGCCGCGTGTCAGAACAATTATAAAAGAAGACGCTTCAATCCCAGTTTGTAGAAGTTAAATCAGGTTTATTTTGTACATTAGCATAACAGATATCCACACAGTACTAGAGGTTAGCCTGTATCCTGTCACATTTGAGTGCAAAAACAGTGCTAAGCTAAGCGCGCTCTGTCTGCCTGCCTGCCTGTGTGTGTGTGTGTTTGTGTGTGTGTGTCAGCTGCGGTGTGCCTGTGTATCTCTGTGTGTGAGTGCGCGCGCGCGCGTAAACTTTGTAACGATATTGTGTGTGACTCATCAATGCAACTTTACAATACTGATTAGTAAAGATTAGTTCTTACTGTAGTATTTCTCACAAACGCTACATGAGACCTTCTTCCTTTAAGTCTGTCTGTTGTCTGACGCAGTTGAGGGAAGAGATTAAAGCACCCGGGAAAGCACGTAGAAACAGTAGGCGGGAAAGACTCGTCTTAAAGGCGCAGTACGACAAAACCACCCCCTGCTGGAAATCAGTATAAAACAGCATCTTGTAAAAGGTATAATGAAAAATCTGATGAGTATTTTGAGCTAAAACGTTATATACTAGGGGTGTAACGATACACTCAGCTCACGATACGATGTGTATCACGATATAATGTTCACGATTCGATATGTATCACGATATTTGAAAAAAATTGAAAATTAAACTGAAATGCAAATTTTACCAAGTAAACAATTTTTTATGTATTTCTTTTGTTTTAACTTGTTAAACTGAACCTTCTTTAAGAAAATAAATTAAACAGGCCTGTCTCTGGAAAATAAAACTATTTAAAAACTTCTTAAAATATTATGGAAATGACAGAGACAAAATTAAGGAACAATTTAAGTACAGGTGCAAAACAAATAAGCTTTCTATTCAATTGAATTTAACAGTAAGAGCTTAAGTCGTTTTTTGTGTGTGCAAAAAAAAATCCACATTTTCAGGTATTTAATTCATATTTAATTAAATTTATTTAGAGATATCTCTAATTACAATACTAGTCAAAACTCATTTAGAGATATCTGCAAATATTTTTCAATGGAAGTCAATGGAGGAATATGACTAGTCATAATATATTTGCAGATATCTCCAATCTGATTTCGTACTAGTACAATTGTAATTGCAGATATCTCTAATTGTCATTCTGACTAGTCGAATTATAATTATGACTAGTCAAAATATAATTAGAGATATCTCAAAATAAATTTATGGATAGTCAGAACAAAGGTTTAAATGCTAAAACGGCTTGCCATACGCGCGCGTCTATCATAGTCCGCCCTCTGTAGTAACAGCTCAGCTCACGTCATGTGTGATTTTGCGGCCGCCAATACATCATTATATGAAGACAGAATGATATTTTAGGGTGAATTGTACCTTATAAATACAGTATGTGACTCTTTTAACACCATTAGAAGGTATCCATGTCTCTGTGCAAAGTATGTAAATCACTGTGAAGACTTTAAAACTTAGGCTATGTTTGACCCAGTATGCGTGTCAAAAAGCGGACGAGTCTAAAGCAATGACTGTACAACCGAAATGTTGCCAGACGTCTGACTTTGAGAGGATGGGCTATCCTCTTTTTCAACTCCACTCATCTTGGTCTGCTAACATTACTGCTGCTGCAATCTGAACTCACGTGCGACAGCAAGTGGAATGTAGCCCACGTGCAAACAGCTCAACTAAGAGAAAACGGACGTCATATCGTAATCAAATCGTCATAACGCCACGATGCATATTGTGACATTTTTGCATCGCAATAAATCGTACAACGATAAATCGTTACACCCCTATTGTATACACATTCTAGAGACGCAAAAGACTTATATTAAATCTGAAAAAAGGGGTAACCTATAGGTGCCCTTTAAAGCATGCGCACACCAGCTAGCGGGAGTTTTCATGGACATCTTTAACCTCTTGCTCTCTCGGTCTGTGGTTCCCACATGCTTTAAGAAAGCTACTCTTGTGCCCATACTGAAATCAGCTAAAACCACATGCCTGAATGACTGGCGTCCAGTTGCTCTGACACCCATCTTCAGCAAGTGCTTTGAGAAGCTGATTAAAAAGCACATCTGCTCAGAACTGCCCGCTCACACTGACCCTCTGCAATTTGCATACAGCAATTTGCATAACCGCTCCACAGACGATGCAATTGCTTTCACCTTGCACATTGTTCTGTCTCACCTGGAAAACAAAAATACATATGTCAGAATGCTGTTTGTGGACTACAGCTCAGGATTCAACACCATAGTGCCTGCCAAGCTGGTGGTGAAGCTCCAAGCTATGGATCTACACAGCTCACTTTGCAACTGGATCCTGGACTTCCTGTCAAGCAGACGCCCGATAGTCAGAATGAACAACATCACCTCGTCCACACTGATCCTTAACACTGGTGCTCCACAGGCCTGTGTTCTCAGCCCACTCCTGTACTCCTGTACACACTTGACTGCACAGCCAAGCACAGCTCAAACGTCATTATTAAATTTGCTGACGACACAACGGTGTGTGGCCTAATAACAGATAATGATAAAACAGCCTACAGAGAGGAGGTGCAAACCTCTCACTCAACATCAGCAAAACCAAGGAGCTGGTGGTGGATGTCAGGAGAGAGAAGAGACAACACACTCCTATCACCGTCAACAGAACACCGGTGGAGAGAGTCAGCACATTCAAGTTTCTTGGAGTCCACATCGCTGAGGAATTGACATGGACTGCTCACACAGACACGCAGTGCTGAGGAAGGCACATTAACGCCTCTTCTTTCTCAGGTGTTTCAGGAGGTTTAGAATGAGCCCCCGCATCCTCTGCTTGTTTTACACCTGCACTGTGGAGAACATCCTGTCTGGCTGTATCACCACCTGGTATGGGAATAGCACCAGCAGCAATTGCAAAGGCCTACATAGGATTGTGCAAACTGTTGAATGCGTAGTAGGAGGTGAGCTTCCCTCCCTCTAGGAGGGTAAGCCTAGAGCAGTGGTCACCAAACTTGTTCCGGGAGGGCCGGTGTCCTGCAGATTTTAGCTCCAACCCTAATCAAATACACCTGAACAAGCTAATCAAGGTCTTACTAGGTATACTTGAAACATCCAGGCAGGTGTGTTGAGGCAAGTTGGAGCTAAACCTTGCAGGGACACTGGCCCTCCAGGACCGAGATTGGTGACCCCTGGCCTAGAGAATCATCAGCGACTCCAGCCACCCAAGCCATAGACTTTTCTCTCTGCTACTCTCAGGCAGATGGTTCCGCAGCATCCGGTCACGCACCAGCCAACTGAAGGAAAGCTTCTTCCCTCAAGCTATCAAGCTGATGAACACTTAACACCTCACTCAGACTCTTTCATACTCCTCACTGCACACCATCAATATGTAGCATGCACTGCACTTTAACCAATCTATACATAAAACAATACTGCCTACAGTTGTGAGTACACATATTCATTGTACATATCCCTGTCAACATTGCCAATTTTTTTTTATTTTTTTTTTGGGAGTATGCTGTTGTATTTTGTACTGTCTGTATTTTGCACTGTCTGTATTTTGTACTGCCTGGAGCCAGCACCTAAGCTTTTCACTCATCATAGCACACGTGCTGTTGATGATGTGACAATAAAATTATTTTGATTTGATTTCCTTATATATTGTCACTTTGTGTAACCTTGCTGTCTGTGTTGTCATCTCCAGATGGTAGTTCTCTTCCCCCTCCTCAGCGTCTGTCCCCGGCACAGTGTGCATCTAGAACTCTGCCCCAGAAGCAGCTGCACACGCAGCTCACTCAGAGACTGGAGGAGGTGCTGAAGGAGCAGCAGGTTACAGATGGCCATGCAGTCCAGAGAGGCTCCTCGCTGGCGTCCAAGACTGCAGGACAGGAGAAAGAGGATACTGAAAAATCTGTCAAATCCTTGCCGGCTAAATCCACACAACAGAGAAGGAAGAGTAGCAAAGTTCAGGGGAACACGTCAGACCATGACAATGTAAGACACTTTTAGTTAAATCAATGTTAAAATATATAGCCCCTTTCACACAGTTTAATATAGGTTAATATTCTGAAAAAATCTGAAATGTGCTGTTCACACAGGGAATGACTTTCTGTAATTTTTCCATAAAAGCACCTATCACACATTTATTCAATCACGTTTTTATTATAAAACACTGGTAAATTCTGACATTATTAACTGAAATTAACCCTAAATGGCTGCACTTGTATTTTTAAACATGAACAAGGTCAGTCTTTTAGTTGATGGTTTCACTTTTGTTTAAACATTTAGCATTTATGCTTTTGTTCCAGAGACAAACCAAAATACTAAACTATCAGAGAAAAATGTTGTTGTAAGCATCTGAAGACAGACACGCTAACATTACTTGCAGCAAAAAGTTACACAGAGGTCTGTGCAGTGAATCATCTGCAACTGAATGTACTGATTGGTCAGAGTAGACGTCTCACATCTGTGCCTAGTGGCAGTATATAATAGGGCTAAACCATATATCAATTGTGCTTTGAAAGGGACGGACTGGCCAAATGGTCTGGTGGCCACATTTCCTGGTGACCTTATGGTCTATTTGGCTGCCGTATACCCCCCCCCCACACACACTTCTTTCATATACAACAATTTTAAAAGTCTGATTCATATAAAACTTTTAGGGCTCTAATTTGACGATCCATGCGCAAAGTCCAAAGCACAGGGCGCAAATGCATTAAGGGCGTGTCAGAATCCACTTTTGCTATTTTATGGTCGGAAAAATCCACTTTGCGCTGTGGCACATTGTCTAACACTGTGGCGCTCATTCTCTTAATGAGTTATAGGTGTGTTTTAAGAATAAACCAATCAGAGTCTCATCTCCCATTCCCTTTAAGAGCCTGTTGTGCCATGCCATAGTGCATTTGCTATTTACATGTGTAAAAGGGGCATATGTCTGCTGTACTTGAACTTTCTACTTTCTCCCCATGAAAGGATGTTGAGGGAGGGTTTATTATATTAAACTGTGCCTTTGTTGTTAATGTTTTGAAGATAACAGATGCAGCAGACAGTATGGTGAAGATGATATCCAGACATTACAAGAAAGGTGCTAAAGCAGCATCTCCTACATTTAACACTGCATCTACAAACAGGTGACACAGACTATCCCAGCTAAAATTTTGTGTTTTATAGACATCTAATAAACATTTAAACATAGACAGCTTGACATATTATAGACATCTAAGAATAGCCTCAAAACTAGACTAGTCATCAAATAGATAGATTAGACAGACTTTATATTTGTAGTCATTAATTTCTGTTTATTTGATGACTAGTCTAGTTCTGGCCTATTCTTAGATGTCTGTTAGATTTTCAGTGACAGCCCAAATTAAGCCTTGTTTTAGCCAAGACAACTATGTTTAGACGTCTATTAGACATCTTTTAAAAACAAAAATGCTCGCTGGTGTGTTTTCATTCATCATCGAGCATTACTTCTGTGCCTGACATGCAATTACATATTTATATCTTCACTTTTAGAAATCTGTTCAACAAGAGCTGTGGTTCATCCTCCACTGTAAGCCACATTTACACCAATTCATGTTTGAACCTGAACCTGTTTAATGCAGGTTCGGGTATATTCAGTTGTACAAATGTCATGCTGTTTTTGCTTTGCTTTTTTGTTTGTTTAATAGGAAAAAAATGCTGCGAAGAGATCAAGCTTGCCTAAAACAGATAACAAATCCAAAAAGCCATTACAGAACATTGAGTATTGCATTTTAGTGATGTTTTTCTTCCAAAATAGGCACTATTTGGTCAAAGAAAAGCTGTTAATGACTATTTTTGTGGTGTTTTAGGGATATTTATGCTTTTACAGAGGACACACCAAAAATTAGTGTGGTAGGTGTGGTAAATGTATTATATTTAAATTATAATAACAACAATAATAGTTCTTGAATGTTTTCCTTTTCAGAGACAGAAATCTGATGTATTCAGAAACGAAAGCAGGTAATTGTACAAAACAGCTCCCTCTAGTGTTTAACAGTTGAACATAACAGTGTAGTTATTTTGTCTTGCTTTTCTCTTTTCAGTGAACTAAGTATTTCTCTGAATCGCACCAACTCTGCTAAAAGGCCTGCGTTACCAAAGGTTTCATATTTATAAAATGCATTTGGTGATTTCACATACATTTTATGCTATCCAAAATTGCACATTTCATATGATTGTGTTTGTTACATTCTAGGGAACTAAAGCAAATGCGAAGAAATACCTGTTCAGTGACACTGACACAGACAATATGACAGATATTAGCTGGTTAAAATCAGCCAACAGGAAACCCAAGCCTAAAGTGGCAGACTACAGCAGGCAGCCAGTCAAAGCCACCTTTCCACCTGCTGACTCTACATGTAAACTACACCCATCTCTATTTAATTAAAATAAAAGAGCAAGAACTCTGTCTGGTTGCATAAAGAACCTTAAGTTTTTTTTATTAAGTATGACACGTAAAGGTTAATTTAACCTTACCTAGGAGAATACTTTAAGGGAATTGCATATAATCCCTTTAACAGTTCTCTTTATTGTTGAATAAATATGAAACTATTAAGTGTTTTACAACATTAATACAGGTTTGTCCTTAAAAAAAAAATTATATATATATATATAAATTATATATATATATTGTTGCCACTCATATTTTAACCCGATGAACGCCCAAAACTGATTCAAATGTGCGCTAGACAGCAATTGTTGCATTCCTGTGTGTGGGTGTATGGGTGTTTCCTAGTACTGGGTTGTGACTGGAAGGGCATATACTATGTACAATATATGCTGGAATAGTTGGTGTTTCATTTCGCTGTGGCGACTTCTGAAATAGAGACTAAGCCAAAAACTTGCCTGTCGTCTGATTTAAATGTGTAAAGATTATTGTGTGTCACTAAAATGGCGAACATTTTAAAGCAGGGGTATCCACACTCTGTCCTGGAAGGCCATTGTCCTAGAGAGTTTAACACCAACCCTAATCAAACACATCTGAACCAGCTAATCAAGCTCTTACTAGATATACTAGAAACTTCCTGGCAGGTTGGAGCTAAACTAAGCAGGATACCCCTGTTTAAAAAGATGTAGCACAGAAAAAAAAAACTTTATATAAAAAACAACTTGGCAAAACTTTAACAGTTTAGCAGCAGTTTTTCATCATTAATCAAGTTTGTGAAACTGTTAAGGTACAGTTTTCCCAAGCTTAGACTAAACTTAAGGCAGTGAGAGTGCTTTATGCAACACTTAGAGGTTTACGTAAGGGAAAAAAAAAACATTTAACCTCTTAAGGCCCAAGATGTGTTTTTACATAGAGTTTTTATTTCTCTTTGCTATTTGAGCTTATTAAAACCTAAATAAAAATAAAACCTAAGTATCATCTTTTGACATTATGTGCTTTTAAAGAAAAATGTCCATAAATGTGGACTCATAGTCCGAATTTACATAAAGCACTTTTTCCTGACAGTTTTTTAATGTAAATATAACATATAACATTTTTTACTTGCTTTGACTATCAGAGTAAAAACAAAAAAAATTCCCATTTAGTGTTTGGGACATTTCATATGTGGCCACTAAGCCCTAGTAGGTTAACAAAAAATTGTTTCACTTATAGAAACCCTTAAGTAACATTTAGGGGTTATTTTATACAACAACCTTATATTTATGGGAAACATAAAAGCGATCTTAAGGGAAAATTACTCTTGAGGTTTTTTATGCAACCGGGCATTGGTTGTCATGTGTCAAAGTAAAGAGAGATGTCATCTGTTTCACTGAATACCAAACAATTTATTGATTTATTTTATTTTAGTTAAATCACCATATTCACCTGTGGCTTCACCAAAGCCAGTGAAAGAACAGACCAAGCCAAAGCGGGTAAGAATATGTATGCTGTCATTTCGCTGATTATATCTTTAAGATTTTATAAAGTTTTGTTGCTAATTTTTTTCCACTTTTGTAATATTTGCACCCCAAAAAAACTGAAAAGGTCACCCTAACAAAGCCATCAAAAAGAAAACTTTCTTTTCATTTGTGAAAAATGAAATATGACGTCATCAGACTGGCAAAAATGGGTGCTTATTTGTAAATATGCATGGTTGTATGTTTATGTTTATTACATTATAAGCTGAATGGCTGTTTTTGGAGCCTAGCTTAGCTTAGAGTCTTGTGAATATCAGAGTGAATCTGCACTGTAAAATGCACAAATTTCTTTTAAAATAGCAATTCTGTTTCCATTATATACCCCCATACAAAAGGTGATTATACTTTCTTAGAATATGCAGTATTGTGTGTATTTTATGCTTATTAGTAGTAATAATTAATTTTTCTTTTGAATTAAACAGAAGCGTCAGAAGAAAATAGCCGAACATGAGGATAAATGGCAGTCAAGCATCAATAATAAGAAAACCACAGGAAGACCTCAAAGAGCCGCAGCCTTGACTAAAACCTACAGAGAGCCGTCTGACTCAGACAGCCAGTCCAGCCAGACAGAGAGTGAAAATGCACCTCCCCCTAAGGCATGTGATTGTTCTTTCAGCAATGTTCATTTAGGGCATCTTTATTAATGTAATTGCCTTTATTGAAGGCGTTTAGAGTCAGGATAGACTAATGATAGCGTTTCTATGTGTTTAAGCCTTGTTTCTCCTCAAACAGAAAAAGGCAGTGGTGCGGCCGGTAACGCCTCAGGAGATTGTTTCAGCTCATACCACAGCACAAGAAAAAAGGAGACAAAAACCCTCTGTGGACACAACCAAACAGCATGAGAAGAATGGACGGAAAACAACAGAAACAGCCTTTGCAGAGATTCAACAAATTCAGAGGAACGATAAAGGCAAGAAGGTGTCTAGTCCTGAGCGTCTCAAAGTGAACAAGACCTCATGGGACAGACAGAAAGAAACCTGGGCTACAAGATTATCTTCCACATTTGCCTCACCGCCCTCTATTGAGAAGATGAGATGTAAGAATTAAAGTGGCCTAAATTATTTATTTTGTTTCTACAAATTTACACATAAATTAATAATTGTTCTTATACTTCATCACAGTAAATTATTTCAAAGGAAAGTCTGATATAAATGCCAGAAGCTTGTGTAATTTGCTAATATTTGTCTCTGTAGCGATTGAAAAACTAGCAACCAACCTACGATCCAATACTACACCTCTGCGCTCTCTGTCCATCTCTCCAATTGAAGCAGACTCACCTCCGCTGGAGCCTCTCATTCCTCTCAAAGCGATACAAACCTCTTCTCTATGTAAAACACCAAGGAGTAAAAGTGCTGTAATACCTTCTCCCCTCTCCATAACACCTGTTTCCAAAACCTCCAGAGGCTCTAAGAAGAGTCTACCTGCTGTTCAGGTAAACAAGAGTACATATGTAGGGCTGCTATCTAAATCATTTTCATGGAAATAGCAGGTAATACTCGTGTCTGATCCTGTCTCACTCTTTTTAAATTTGTAAATATAGTGCTATCAAGTGGTTAACTAAGATTAATTGCATACAAATACAAAGAGTTAAATTAACATAATATATGTATGTTTGTACTGTGTATATTTATTTTGTAGGTACACTCGACGGCCACTTAATTAGGTACACCTGTCTATCTGCTCGTTAACGCTAGTTTCTAATGGGCCAATCACATGGCAGCAACTGAATGCATTTAGGCATGTAGACATGGTCAAGACGATCTGCTGCAATTCAAACCGAGCATCAGAATGGGGAAGAAAGGTGATTTAAGTGACTTTGAATGTGGCATGGTTGTTGGTGCCAGACGGCTGGTCTGAGTATTTCAGAAACAGCTGGGATCTACTGGGATTTTCATGCCCAACCATCTCTAGGGTTTACAGAGAATGGGCCAAAATATCCAGTGAGTGACAGTTCTGTGGGCGCAAATGCCTTGTTGATGGCAGAGGCCAGACTGGTTCGAGCTGATAGAAAGGCAACAGTAACTCAAAAACCTCTCTTTACAACTGAGGTAAGAAGAAAAGCATCTATGAACACACAACATAACCAACCTTGAGGCAGATGGGCTACAGTAGCAGAAGACCATACTGGGTGGCACTCAGCTAAGATCAGGAAACTGAGGCTACAATTCGCACAGGCTCAAAAAAATTGGACAATAGAAGATTGGAAAAACGTTGCCTGGTCTGATAAGTCTCGTTTTCTGCTGCGACATTCAGATGGTAGGGTCAGAATTTGGCGTCAACAACATGAAAAGCATGGATCCATCCTGCCTTATCTACGGTTCAGGCTGATGGTGATGGTGTAATGGTGCGGGGGATTTTTTTTCTTTTTTTTTCTCTACCAATTGAGCATTGTGTCAACGCCACAGTCTAGCTGAGTATTGTTGCTATTTACGGCCATTCTTTTATGACCACAGTGTACCCATCTTCTGATGGCTACTTCCGGGAGGATAACGCACCATGTCATAAAGCACAAATCATCTCAGACTAGTTTATTGAACATCATAATGAGTTCACTGTGCTCAAATGGCCTCCACTGTCACCTCTGGCATTCGCATCATGGATGTGCAGCTGACTGATCTGCAGCAACTGTGTGATGCTATCATGTCAATATGGACCAAAATTCCTGGGAAATATTTCCAGTACCTTGTTGAATCTATGCCATGTAGGATTAATGCAGTTCTGAAGTCAAAAGGGTGTCCAACCTGGTACTAGTAAGGTGTACCTTACAAAGTGGCCAGTGAATGTATACATTTCAGAACATACATATGCCCAATACACAGTGAGTACACATGTAAATACAAACCTGTATTATGGATGTGACTAAGCAAGATTAACCATTTGATAGCACTAATTAATTTATATATATATAGATGATAGTAGCATCTGTGTGCAAGTCCAATATGAACTAAGGATAGCTGATGTTGTGCTGCATCTTCTTTTGTTTAAAAGTAACTGTGTAGTTACAAATACAGTGAAAGAAAAAGTGCTGGAAATGATCAAACCTAAAGCGGGTTTTAAATCGGATGTGTGGAAGCATTTCGGTTTCTTTCTAAAAAGATACGAAAAAGGAGAAAAGGTAACTGACAAAGAAAAAAACAATATGCAGGCACTGCCAGACTGTGGTAAAATATAAGCCAGGGAATACGACTAAAAACAGTCATGGGACTGCAGAACACAGCACACTTGTTAGATTGATGCAGACATTGGCTTGTACTGCAAAGAGACCTCTATCTCACTCATGGCTTGTCCTCTCAAGTGGTGGAAAGACAATGCACAACGTTACCCACTGCTGTCCACCTGGGCCAAATCATATCTCTCTGTCCCAGAAACCTCAGTCCCAAATGAGAGTTTTTTTTTTCTGTTGCAGGGGAGATGCCTAGAGATCCCAGCTTTTACCAGATTATAGATATATGATAATTTTGCTTAAAAACCCATGAGTTTTCAACAATACTAAATTGAAACTTTTTATATATATATATATATATATATATATATATATATATATATATATATATATATATATATATATATATATATATATATATATATATATATATATATATATGCCATGGTTTAATAGTTTTTTGTTATTAAAATTAAAAAATTGAAGTTGCTGTTTTGAAACTTACAGATAGATGGCTGATTTGTATGTAATTGATATGTTCTTTGCTAAGGTAAATAAACACTTTTGGCACTTTTTTCGAGTCTTTTCATTAGTTTTGTTTTTCCTGTAAATTATTCCATAAATACCGTACCGTGCCATTCATACCAAGGTATTATCGTTCCGTGAAATTCTGATACCGTTACATCCCTTATATATATATATATATATATATATAATATACACACACACACACACACACACACACACACACATACATACATGCATGTTGTTTGAACGTTTACAAATGATACAAAATTCTGTAAAATGTAAACATCTCTGTGAAAAATATCCTAATTCTAAAACTCAATGAACTAGTTTGTCTCATTAAACTCACACATTTATGTCCACTTTATTACCTCACAGAAAAAAAAAATTATCAAACTCACTTGTTCTCTGTCTCGCTCCTGCAGGTTGAGCTGAGTCCTGTTCATTCAGTACTGTCCCAAAGTCAACCACTCTCCATCAAAGAGACCCTGAACTCTCCAGACCTTCAGGAGGAGCAGAGAGCTGTCAAGAACAAAACCAGCCCAGCATCTTTTGAAAGGAGGTCTGTCAATTCTCTGACAATCAGCCAGACTTCACACAAATCTTTGAGCAACATGGCAACAGCCCTTACTGAGCTTGAGGTACAAGTTTAACTTCATTTCTGAGTACAATTATACTTTTGGTAGCATATTTCAGCAACACAGCATCAAATTCTTGATTTTTAGAAAACACCAGAATGCCAGAAAGGAAGTAAGGATGAGAGAGCAGAATTTAAGTCAGGTGATTGGGTTTTTAAATACTGTGTGGTTTTGTACATGCATTTGGTAAATTACATAAATGCGCATCTTATATATTCTTGTACTACTGTAAATGCCCATCAGGTCCATCAGTCATCCACACACACATCATCCCGTGCCACACAGATGACGATGAAGACAGTGAGGAGGACAAAGAAAATAAGGCTCCTTCTCCTTCTCAGCTTGCCCTGAAAATGAAGCCAAGGAAGTTGTTTGTGCCTACTAATAAATACTGGACTCCTAGTAAAGGTATTTATCACTTTTTAAAAAGGGTTATGTCATACCTACAACAAATAATCTACCTAAAGTTTTCAAACATTCATTTTCTTTTCGGCTTAGTCCCTTCAGGGGTCGCCACAGCGAACTGATCCGCCAACTTATCCAGCATGTGTTTTACACAGCTCATGCTCTTCCAGCCACAACCCAGCACTGGGAAACACCCATACAATGTTGCATTCACATCCACACATACATTCTGGCCAATTTAATTTATTCAATTCACTTATAGCGCATGTCTTTGGACTGGGGGAACCGAAGAACCCAGAGGAAACCCACCCGAACATGGGGAAAAGCCCCCAGTGCTTGCACCCAGGGCTTGGACCAACGACCTTCTTGGTGTGAAGCGACAGCGCTACCCACTGCACCACCGCATCATCCCCAAAACTTTTTCTTTTCTTATGAAAACACTGTATTTCAGGGGTCACCAACCCTGTTTTCAGAGAGCTACCTTCCTGGAGATTTCAGTTTGACCAAACTGAAATCCTTAACCAAAAACACCTGTCAGTAATTATCAAGTGCTGCTTTAGCTCCTAATTAATTGGTTCAGGTATTGATTTGATCAGGGTTGGAGGGGATTTCTGTAGGAATGTAGCTCTCTAGGAAAAGGGTTGGTCAACTCTGCTGTATTTGATGTTTAATAGAAAGCAACAGTCAGGTTTAAAAAAAACTACATTGATTTTCTCCATAGAAATTTGTTTTTTTACAGTAACTAATAAACCACCATGATATTGTACAAAACAATTTACCAATTCTAGAAAGACGCAAAAGACACCAAATTTTTCGAAATATTTACATGCTTGCTTGTTTCTATTAGGGATTAGTGGTATAGTTAATTAAAATAATGTTTGAATGGTTTTGTATTCAAGTAGTCTAGTCTAAAAAAAACAACAACAATAGATGATACAAAAAATTTAACTGTTTAAAAGAAATAGCATTAAAATTACTTTTTAAAACATAGACTGTAAAAAATGCAAGGTTCCACACAATTCCTTCATGTTGTCCCAACACAAATTGATTAAGTTAACTTAACACTTTTAACAAATTTATGTGGATTAAACATAACAAATATTATGATGTCCTAATAAAATCTCAAGAACTGTGTTGTTTCAGTTCATTTTAAATAAGTTTTAAATAAAAAAGTTTTTGAGTGTACTTCATAGGTTGTATCATTTAAAACAATAGAATGGAACTATGACAACTTAATTTGCTCAATTCATGTAATTTTGTTTAGTGAAATTACCATGTTACATGATCTAGTGTAAGATTGGTCCATAGGCAATAAAGGATTATTCCTGTACATGAAAAAGTGCACTTTGAAGCACCATGCAGAGATAACAATAAGGCAACAAAACATTCGGAGAGCACATGGTCATCCCACACCATTATTAATTTTTGAAAAATGGACGACTTTTTCCAGTAGAAATCCTTGTTAAATCAGTCATGATTTAAGTTATTTGAATATTTTTATGTCACGTAGTTGACTAGTCATCGGCTGGGTCAGTTGGCATTTCTGTATGGAGTTTGGATGTTCTACCCATGTTCACGTGGGTTTCCTTCGGGTGCTCCGATTTCCCTCATAGTCCAAAGACATGCACTGTTGGTAAATTAGGTAAGCTAAATTGGCTGTAGTGTATGTGTGTATGTCCTGGTCTTCCAGGTTGGGAGTTCATTTTCTTTTCGGCTTAGTCCCTTCAGGGGTCGCCACAGCGAACTGATCCGCCAACTTATCCAGCATGTGTTTTACACAGCTCATGCTCTTCCAGCCACAACCCAGCACTGGGAAACACCCATACAATGTTGCATTCACATCCACACATACATTCTGGCCAATTTAATTTATTCAATTCACTTATAGCGCATGTCTTTGGACTGGGGGAACCGAAGAACCCAGAGGAAACCCACCGAACATGGGGAAAAGCCCCCAGTGCTTGGACCCAGGGCTTGGACCAACGACCTTCTTGGTGTGAAGCGACAGCGCTACCCACTGCACCACCGCATCATCCCCAAAACTTTTTCTTTTCTTATGAAAACACTGTATTTCAGGGGTCACCAACCCTGTTTTCAGAGAGCTACCTTCCTGGAGATTTCAGTTTGACCAAACTGAAATCCTTAACCAAACACACCTGTCAGTAATTATCAAGTGCTGCTTTAGCTCCTAATTAATTGGTTCAGGTATTGATTTGATCAGGGTTGGAGGGGATTTCTGTAGGAATGTAGCTCTCTAGGAAATTAGGTAAGCTAAATTGGCTGTAGTGTATGTGTGTATGTCCTGGTCTTCCAGGTTGGGAGTTGAGCATTTGGCTAGCAACTAACCTTATAAAAACTAGAGGTTATGAAACACCAATATGGGTATTAACTTTGATATAAAGGCCCTGGGAATAAGTAAGTTGACTAGTAGGAATTGTCGACTAGTCAATTAATTGATATATATATATATATATATATATATATATATATATATATATATATATATATATATATATATATATATATATATATATATATATATATATATTTTTTTTTTTTTTACATGTACATTAAGGATTTAAATAGAATTTTATTGTGTGTGTTTTTTTAAAGAGACACACGGAGACATTAACAAGATCTTCATTTTTATTAACTTGTAGGGACTTTTAAATCACACATTTTCCAAAATATTTCACAGTTTGAACACATTTATTTTTGTCACAAATGTGTTAAATGCTCACTCTAGCAACCATGTCAATGCTTTATATATGATGTCATTACAAGCTGGTCTCCAGACAGATTAATTCCAATTTTCACTTATCTGGAGAATCTGTTCACTTGTTTGTGGTGAAACTGAATAAACTTTTTTTTGGTGTGCCTCAGGTCGGAATAGCAAACCACTGATGAAGGATCAGAGCAGCTCAGAGGAGGAAGAGGAAGATATAGTTGCAGAGAATAAGAGAAGAAAGAAAAGTTACCACAGAAGCCTGACCAACAGGACCAAGGAACCAACTATATCCAGTAAGTTTATGGGCTCAAAAATGGGGCTAAAATTGATATACATATGTTATTAATTAATATGTTTTTAATAACAGATTATGGTTGATCCGTGATCTGCATGGATCGCAACCCAAATGGAACACACATGACCTGCGGATTAATAACTTTTTTGAACTTGTAGGTTAATCCAACATTTAAAACAATTGCAGAGATCGCCTCCCGTGTCATTCAAATCGCATGTATGAAAGTATGTTGGCTTCCCTGTAAAATATAATGATGACAGAAAAAGTTGTGGGGAGACCTGCTTTTTTAGGCCATTAATTAAAGGTGTTTTCTGTCACTGTTTATTTTGCCTGCATTAATACATATTCAGTGTATAGCTGCACAATTACACATTAAAAGATTGTATTCTGAATTCAGACCCGCACAAAATGAATGACAAATGCTAATGATTTGTGTATGATTATTATTAATTATTCCAATTGCTGCATTCAAATCTGCGTTTAATCAAGAGAGATTCACTGTATTATTATTGAGACTGATTCGGCTCCAAATGAACCAAAGTTTATCTGGCAAAAAATTCCATAAGAAATCTACATGATTCTGGAAGCCCAGCTGTAGTATACCAGATGGGTGTGTGTGCTTGTGAACTTGCTAAAGTGTGACACAAGAGAAAGTATATGTTTGTTTCACTGCAGCTGAGGAAGTGGAGACTCTGTCATCCTGTACAAGGTCCAGTTGCAGGCATGTCAGTGTGGAGGCAGACTTGGACCTGACACAGCCTGCTCAGGAGATGCGCTTTATCTGCCATCAGTTCAGCTCAGACCTTAAGAGCAAGATCAAGGTGCTTTTCATCTTTCTTTTCGCACTAAATCAGCACTGACTTAACACACCAGCCCCATCAAGCAACTGTTTGAGGATTCACTTCCTCTAATTAAAAAACTAAATCACTCAGTCACTGTATATTAGGCTTTTATAATAACTTGTTTTTGCTTCCATCAGAATCGGGGGAGGATGATGGACCTTTACACCAGTCAGTCTTTGAAGACCTTACAGCAGCACATGTCCTCTGTCCATGTAAAAGTACACCAGTACAGGTTAGACATGACCTTTTTCAAAGAAAAGTTTTTTGCTCTAAAACTGGTCTGATTTTCACCTGCTTTTCTTTCTTTATCTTACCTTCTATAGTTCTCAGAGGTTGGAGAAAGTTAAACAAGTCCTCTTGAGTGAAATTCAAAACCTTGAGCAGGATGATGTTGTTTTGAGAGGCATGGAGGAGGAATTGATGGTAAGGAGGGTGCTGACTTGTCAAATGGCCAGTAATAAGAATAATTATACATATTCATTTTCTATTAAATATGGAATAATTTGGGGAAATAATAATGGATTTAATTTTTAATTGTAATATATTTGTGTGTATTAAGTAATAGGTTTTGCATGTGCAGGATGATTATGTATTAGCCAGTAAATCATTACTGGAAATAAATAGAAGCATTTCTTCTTTAGTTGTTAGAAATTGTTTACATTTTTTACATAGTCCTTACTGGCCCTAAAACTATTCTGGTTGAACATTTACAGATTGTATAAATATGCAAATTAATAATGAAACTATATATATATATATATATATATATATATATATATATATATATATATATATATATATATATATTTTTTTTTTTTTTTTTTTTTTTAACTCATATTTTACTCAAAAAGTCCTAATAATCCACAAATGTAAAGAGACACTGAATTCAGCTGATTTGTGTACCGAATCTGCATGAACTACTTTACAAATGATTTTTTTTTTTGATTTTTTTTTTATTGCAAAGTCTATAAATGGAAAATTACCAGAGGCTACAGACACTAAAAAGAGAGCACAGGTGTACCAACAGATAAAATACTGTACTAAGCAGCACAGGTGCATTGGGATTGGATCCACATAATACCATTAGATATTCTGCATTAACTTCAGTAAGTCAAACATGGGTTCAGAATGTGGAATTTTTCTGATTGATGCATATTAAATATTGACTTCTCTTCACTTTTTCCTCATTTTTTACAGCCTTAGTCCAAAATGAACTAAATTAATTTTTTCCAAATAATTCTGCATTGCAATTAAAATTACATGAATTTAAAAAAAAATTGTATTGACAAATTTTGCTCAATACTTTTTTGAACCAGCTTTGGCACCAATTACAGCCTCAAGTCTTTTGAGTGGGATGCTACGAGCATGGCACAGCTATTTTTGGGTACTTTCTCGTTCTTCTTTGCAGTACCATTATTAAGTTGCCCTGTAGCCATTTCTTAGTTTTTTTTTGGCTGTGATCATTGTGGTCATTGTCTAGTTAAAAAGATGATCTCTAGAGAATGTTTTCTGTCTCTGTACTTTTCTGCATTAAACTTCCCTCAATCCTGACAAGTTTCAGGTTATGCTGCTTAAAAACATACACGGGATATAACAATATGATGCTACACTGATAAAATAAGCTGTTATAGCTGTTAATATGCTTCTTATTTTACATTTCTGTACATATCCAGGGTGTCCGCAGGTTCTTAAAGGGGTGGTCAACAGTATATTTGTAAAGCTTGGCTGTGTTTATAAGATGCAAAGCAATGTGTGCGCGTGCTTCAATTGTAGAAAATCACATTAATTTTTTTCAAATATCTTACTTTGATTATATACAGCTACTCTGCTGACATGAAAATGACTGTCATATTTCCTAGTTCCTATAAAGACCCGCCGTCAAGAGGCTCTGATTGGTCAGCTAACATAATGTGCTGTGATTCATGGATCAGCTCTTTCACTCCCCTACAAGCGCACACTTTTGCGCTGTGTAAACAGTCCAGTCAGAGCAGCTGTTAGCAACATTAGCTGTCTGAACCAGACAGAAAGGAAGTGCAGACAGCTCACGCCTGCTAATCCATCCCAAAACTTTTTTTTTTCATATTTAACTTTTTTTATTGCAAAGAGATACAATTCACAACAGCTGTTAGACATTAACAACAATTTATGCGAATTAAATTTCCTAATCAGGGAAAGAAAACTAAAGCAACACATCCCTTTACATGATCTTCCATTAATTTAAAATACATTTACAGAAGTAACCGGGCCATTAAAAAGAAAATCCTTAATGTGTATATAATGTTTAATGATTATATATATGTCACGATTCAGGAAGGATGAGGAAGCAAGGACTCAAATGCAGCAGAAGATGGTATTTATTAATTGAAATAAAACAAAAAGGACAACAAAAACCATCCCGAGGGGGAAAAACAGAACTATAAAACAAACAGACAAACTTGGCTGGGCTGGCAGGACAAACAGTACTGGATATCACAGGACAGGGAAATACTGATGATGATCTGGCACAGGACGGCAGACATGAGAGGATTATATAGAGGACCAAATTAACACAAACAGATGAACATAATTAACTAATAATGGGTCAACAAGGAGGGTGGGACTTGACAATAAACGGGAGAGCGCATGACACAGAGAGACAACACAAGCCATGCGCTCACATAAAACGAGACTAGAACACGCAGCCAATGAGAACTCATTAACTGCATGTTCATGACAACACAAGCACGCAGTGCATTTAAACATACACCACGTGCTAAACAACACCAGCAGAAGACTGAATGCAAGACACGAGTACACGATGAATGAAAGCACTCACCGTGCACTCACACATGCAGCGTGCATGTTTCATCTCATTCAACTGGACTGAGACGCTGGGGATGAAACACCACGCTGCAGACAGACGAAAACAAACACGAGTACAAGAGCGCCGCATCCGAGGGATGCAGAGCCCGCACGGCCGCATCAAGCAGGAGCGCGCACGCCCTGCGCACACCCACGACGGCGCACAAGCACACAGAGACAGACACAATGACAGAAACAGGTCAAGACAGAGCTAGTGTCCGGGCTCTGCCACCAAAACAAGAATTTACAAGACCAGAGTGGCAGAACCCTGACAATATAAGCTGCCTTGTATAAGTCTAAAATTTCATTCAGAAGGGTCTGAAAAGGGTCTTAAAAAGTCTTAAATTTGATTTGAAGGAAGCTGCAGAAACCCTGATATGGGTCATGTTCTGTTACGCTGTTGGTCTCACACATTTTTCATATGATTTTTATTTTTTTTATTTTTTGTTTACACATTTGTGGCCGTTTGAGTAGTTGCTCTCATGTTATGTGCGTTTGACAGGACAGACTGTACCTCACGTTTGTTTCATGCAGATTACAAAACCAAAAAACTTTTGTTTTCAAGTGCAAGTTTCAAGTTTGTTCATTTACAAGTACAGATTTCAAGCTTTATGTTGATATATTTCTCATGTCTGTGAAACAAGTATTTGCTGAGATTCCAGTGTGTTTGTTGAAGATACAAACTTTCATAAAAGCGTGTTTGGTCCAAGCTTCTGCCCCGGAGAAACGTCAGTCTATAGCAGTCTATTGGCTTTTGTACTAGTAGGCAGGGCTTCATTCGCCATATTGATCTTTACAGATTTCCCCATTCAAAACTATATAAGTGACATGTCTTGCGCATTATAATCTTTGCCTGCTTCCTACCCTGTTTAACTCAGTGTTCACTATTCACAGGCATACTGGGAAAAGCAGACCTCGGCCTTCCACACCTACCAAGAGAAAAGAACCAGGAGGTGAGAATACATAACAGCTCCTGCATAAACATGAACATCGTTGATTTCCCAGCTCTAATGTTAATGCAACTAACTGTACTTTGGTAACTTTTCTGTACTTGTAATAATGTGTAGTTTTGTCTACAAGACTTTTATGACTGAAATGTCTGTGGGTTTATCTGGGGAGCAATAATAAACAGGCTCTTTCAGACATTCATAGATGCACCAGGGAACAAAATAGAAAGCTTTATGTAATTCTGGTTATTTGTTCCCTCTATAATGTTATTATGGACAGAATCTTGTGATTTTTGAAAATGCTTTTAAAAAAGTGACATCTAAGGATTGGATTGTTAAGAAGTCATTTCAGTCTGAAATTTTAAGTCATTTATGGACTTGAGTTGCATAATTCCTTTTGAAAAAAAAGGTGACAGCTGATCTGTTACAACATTGAGTTCTTTCTGCTGCTAAGTTAATCAGTCAAATGCACACCAAACAAGACTTGATGTGCTAGAAAATACTCTGCTATGTTTTTTCCAGGATTTGGTCTTTTTTTGCCTGGCTCATTCCTTTAAGCATCATAATAATATTATTATAATTATACAATTATAAAAATAACTTTCTGTTCAGCACTATTTGTTGTTTTTACATCGGATGTGTAATAGGCTTCTGTTACTATCAAATTTCTTGTGATTAATTTCTGAAGCTTTTATCATGATAAAAACTATATTGTCGTGATAATGAGCTACTGAAACTCATTCAGTCCCGTAAACCGAAATAGGCCAGCTATAAGAGGATGCGCTCTTTTAAACAAGAATTTTTTTTCCCTTTGCATGTTCGCTACTGCATGCATGGGAAAGAGAAATGAACAGAGAAACATGAATAGACGATAAATAATATGCGACTCTTGCGAATATTCTCATATATTTAATTCATAACTGCCACTAATAGCTATGTAAAAGGGAACCTATTTTGAGTGCATGAGAGTGTTTTGCATGTAGTGGCAGATTGTCAAATATTTGTGACTAGCTTATAATAAGTAATAATTATTGATAAAGCAAGTTATACTGCAATCAGATGATATGGTCCATCAGCTTGATAACCTTAATATTATTTTGTAGTTTGTGCTGTGCTGCGGTTCTTGCAGTGTGTGCACGTTTAAGATTTGAGGTTATAACATCGCCATGATGGTCAAAGAAATCGAAATGTCGTTAGGAATGGCGGCAGACTAACCGTTCTGAAGTAGTGACAACTGTATGCTGCAAAAAAATGTTTTCTTTAACAGATATAATGACAAAAAATTAATTAGGAAACATAATGAAACAAGCATTACAGTTTTTGTGATAAATGGAAAGCAAATAACATTTGTCTTCTCACCTTTTTGGCTGATCTAAAAAACTGTAAAATCTGTGACTTAATAACCATAATGCGATTCGAATCATGAGATTTGTGATTCATTACACCACTACTAATTGGTAATACCAGTGCTTGGCTTGCTTAGATATGTTTTGTTTTCTCAGACTTCAGAAGTTTAAAAGCACGATTCAGAATGATGTGTGTGACAGTCTAAAGTACGAGGAACAAATCTTCTCTTTGGAGGTAAGGGCCTGACTTTTTTTCCGTGTTGAATACTGCAGTTTTGCAAAACAATGTGTATGTTTACATGGACACCAATAATGCGATTTTATTATGATAAAGACAATATTCTGATGAAGAGTCTACCATGTAAGCAGCCATTTTTGATTAATTAAAATTAAGGTCATATTCGAACTAAACAGAAATGGAATAAAGACATATGAAGTATGCTTGTTTTAGTGGCCTTTTTGAAGTGCAGTACAGACATGTAAACATCTAATCAAACTATTACCATTGTGCAGGATTTTCACCACATTTTGCGACAGGATAGTCTATACACACACGACTTGTTGACACTATTCTCTGCACCTGACTGCAAAATCTGGAGGTTTCTACCATTTGGTTTGTGGTGTCAAATTCCATTAAAACAACACTTTTATCAGTCCTTAATTCATACTTGCACCTTATACCTCATTTTGTTACAGGGGCATGCATGAAATGTTCCTGAAAGTAAAAAAAGTAAAAGTGCCAAACTGCAGTTAAGTTAATTGGGTGGTGAAAGAATCAGCTATTTGGTTTAAATCAAATTTAAACTTTGGGGATTTGAATCTAAAGATTTAAAATATGATTCACATGGAATAATTCAAAGCTTACACTTACCCTATGTATTTGTCCTGCAAATAGAATGGTTAATTTTAAGCAATTCTGTATTATATTATTACGTGGCCAACAAAAACAATATAATCAGTATCTAATTATTTAATGAGCAAGGCAGCAGTATCTGAAGCTGAAGCATTAGCTTATAAAGCACACAACATACCAACACAGATCTTAAAACAAAAGTTTATTGCTACTCTATAACACAACGTACTAATCTCCATAAAACAAACAAATGCACATGCATACACACACAAGCAGTTTGAGGAGAGTTATGACTGAGTGGATTCAACTTCTAGCATATGCTAAGTTCTTCGCATTGCAACCTGAGAGAAACCATAAAAGGAGAGAATTTTGCTATTCTTTACTACTTAAATATAATTCACACCAGTTTCAGCAAATGGATAGAAAGCCTGTTTGTGGTACTTGCGTTCTGCTGGAATTTTGGTTTACTGGACTGGTCCAAAGGGAAATCCCGGTGAAGCTCCAATGACGTGATGGAATTCCATAGTCAGTGTAGAGGAGTTCCCTTCCTGTTGGGGAAGCTTGGGGTCAGTTGCTAGGGATACACAGGGCTCGAAATTGACCTTTTTGCTTGGTGTACCGGTGCTCCTAACTTTAAAATTTAGGCGCATCAGCCAAAATTTTGTCGCACCCACCAATTATAAGCACCGTTACTACAAGTTTTATAAAAACATTTATTGCATTTGAAATCAAAAGTAATCAAACTAACAAGCAAAAAATATATATATGCAAGCGTAAGGAAAATATGTCTCAATGAAATCCCATTATCACAAGAAAATAGATTTTTATAACATAACTGAGTGGCCAAAGCATACACGGACCGCTCACCGGCCCTGCACGCACTGCTTGATATGAATGAATCTGTTAACGATATAACTATGCTGTTCTCACGGGTGCTGTCTAATTTTGCACTGATGCTTTTGACATATACTGTACCTTATTATATACATACGTCATGTTAATAGCAATACTAGTCTTTTTATGAGTAGCGAGTTTTCTCAGTGCATGCCCGTTCCATCCCACAGACTTTTCATAGCGGACTTGAAGCCAACGGAAGTTTTTTATCCACTCTCCGAAAAGTGCAGATGGTGGATTAACATTCAGCACATGGTCACTAGTAAGATGTGTCATTATTTGTAACTTTAGATGCCATGGTTTCTAAAACAAAATCTGTCAGTGTTATCTTCATTCTCATCTTCAGCGTTTTACAATTTTTCGCAGTAGTAGCTCTCTGTCATCCCAAGCCAGAAGGCATTGACTGAGTAATTTACAACTAATATTTCAGTGCTAGAGCAGTGGTGGGCCAATAAGAAGAGCGCAAAGGCAGGGCAAGCATTACAAAATTGGCTTTGTTTACTGCAGCAAGTTGACATGAAAACTGTTTTAAATCATTCCTGAGCACTGCGTTTCGCGTTTCTAGTGCAGACAAAGAGCTTAGAGATGCATTCTGCATGAATGTCTCCTGAATCCGCGCATGTGGTGAACATTTTGCTGTAAAAACTGGTCGCACACAACAATTTAATGCTCTCGCACACATGCTCCCAAATATATTTAGAGGTCGCACAGATAAAATTTCGGGCGCACATGCGACCAAAATAGTCGCAATTTTGAGCTCTGAGACAGATGTTGGACGAGGCGGCAGTGTAGTCCTTCCTGGGGATTCTATAGTTATGGCGGAGTTTCAGAGTTCTGATGAGTTGACCTTTGGTATAAGCTGGGCCAACACAATGATTGTCCAATCAGAGAAGCTACGGGGTGGGGTCACACCCCAATTTCCTCCTCTAGAAGGCCGGGGTTGGCATATTGTGTGGGTCCTGCTTTGATAGGATAGTTGTTAAAATAAAGTATCATAACATGGACACCTTTTATAGTATGGTTTCTTCATATAAACCAATGCATTTACATTTTCCTAGCTTTCAATCAATACCAAATCAACCATCAAGTATTTCAGAAACATTCTGTAGATTTCATTTGTGACCAAGGGCTATAACTCAATAACTATCCATAACAGTTTAAAAAAAAACTGTTATGGATAGTTTATCCATAAAACAAACATACATTACTCAAATAAACACAGTTTTACTTAAATGTCCATTTAAACTTTGGAAGCTTTTCTGATCGCTTGGTCTGCCTAGAATGTGTATTCCTCGCAGACGCCATTTGCAGGTGCACACAAAAGTGGGTTTGCTGAGCATTCTCAACAACTGGTTTGGGGGGTCTTTGAGTGTAGCCTCTTTTATTGTGTTAAGATGTAAAGTTAATTAACACACATTTGGGATTGCCACTGGCAAGTCATCCTGTGGATAACCTTTTGCTGGGTGCCTGTGGATTGCTTTGAATATGAAATCAAAGCTCAGACATGTAGGCGCCAACCAATCTTTTAAGGATAATATGTTCTGCGACTTGTTCGGTTCTGGAAGGATACGTTGACTCCCTACAGTGGTGATGCAGTGATGTTAATGTGCTATAACGTAAAATGGGATCATGAAAGGAACATACAAAAAGCAATTAATGTAAACTCCTTAATCATATTATTGTCTTAATCCGATTAAGGCAAATAATTAGATCATTGATGTCCATGTAAATGTAGTCCCTTTTGCATTTCTAACCATTTTAAAGGGGATATACGAAAGATTTCGTATTACGAATACATATGGACTATAGTCGAATATGTTTTGTACAATCAAACTAATAATAGTGTAATTTTAAATATCTTATTTGTCGAAATGATACTTGTAACTTGCAAAGCTGGAGTAAACTGATCCATATTGCTAATATCAGATGCTTTAAAGGTGTTGTCCCCTACGATATCATATTTTAAACATTAATTGATGTGTAATGTAGCTGTGTGAACCTAAACAACATCTCTGAATGTAATACACTCAAAGTTCAATGCAATGGGAGACATTGGCTTTTACAGAGTTAGCTTAGCAAAGCCTATAGCGAACAAATTTGGGGACTACAAAAAATACATCTGAGTTAATGATGTCATACACCCTTTAAGTTACGCACATACACTCTGCACAGCAAAGGGGTGTGGCCTGATGCATTGTAATGTAATAACAGAGACACTTTCTGGTGAAGTAAAGCTGACAGCACATTATGTTAGCTGACCAATCAGAGCCTCTTAAGGGCAGGTCTTCAGAGGAACTAAGAAATAAGAACTAGGACAGTCTTTTTCATGTTAGCTGAGTAGCTGTATACAATCAAAGGAAAATATATGAAAAAATAATGAGATTTTCAACAAATGAAGCATGAGCACACATTGCTTTGCACCTCATAAACTCAACCAATCTTTAAAAATACACTCTGGACCACCCTTTTAACTGCCGTTCTCTCAGCATCTTTGTGTGTATGTTATTGAGATGAAAGAGGACAGCACAAAGCCTATTCACAGTGCATACTCAACTAAATGTCACTCTGAGCAGAATGGACAGTGTCTGGATGATTGTTGTCAAGTATACTGCTGCACAGAATAAGCATTGATTTAAGCATTGATTGCTTTATGAACCAAGGTTGTTTATATTGCAGATGTCTTCCATGAAGAAAAACATGAAGTCAGTTCAGGAGCGTTTCTTCAAGGAGATGGTGAGAGAATGCACAAAGGGAATTGATATTATATACTTGAAGGCATACAACTCTGTAGGCTGAATGATTACTATTATTTCTTTCTTTGTCTTCATAGCAAGATGAGGATTTGACAAGTGTGCGAAGAGGACTACAAGCCATGTTCTTTCCAGATGCATCCAGGTTCTGACTTGAGAAAGAAAGATCCTTTTGAAAACTTTCTAAGCTATTCTTTAAACATGTTTGATTTTCTTGATATTATTAACAATATGTTATTTTAAATAAAACTTAGAAGGTTAAATATATTTATACTTAATGCTGTTTATTTATTAAAAAAAGGGTTTGCTGTAGATGGTTTTTGCGCACATATTTGCTTGTGATTTTAAATGTGAATAATGAATACCGGAAATGCCTCTGTGAAAATGAGTGAATGGTATAGGACTAATCTGTGACTTACCAACTCATAATTAACTTCAGATTTCTGTGCGCAGACATTTAAATTGAATGCTGGATTCTAAAACCCAGAAGTTAATTGTATGCATTCACTAGCAATGACCTTAATGTGCTAAACTGCCTTACTGGTTCAAGTTATTAGAGATGTTGAAAAATAAAGAATATTTTTAATCAAAGTCATTTTCTGTCATTCTGTGGTCAAGAAATGTATTAATGGGTTACACTAATATAAATAAAAGAAAATGTTAGTTTTATCTAGGAACAAAGCATCAACTGGGGTCTGATTTTAATTATTGTGAGACATCATGTTACAGGGTTTGAAATAAAATAAACTCTGCAGGGCTGTGCCTGCTGTGCCCGTCCAGGAACTAAGGGAGTTCTAAGGCAGTGGTTCCCAGTACCATCCTTGGGACCAACTTCACTGCACAATTTGTATTTCTTGTTTTTAACACACCTAATTTAAAATTAACAGAGATCCATGAACTGATCATTGGCTGTTTCTCAATTCCAAGAACACTGAGAATAGACTTCTTGTGGAGAACAAGCATGGGGACCGCAGGAACAGAGAGCACCTTCTGTGAGAAATGAGATGCTGCTTTCTTCCTAATGGTCACAAGGCCTTTACATATTTTTAAAGCAAAATTATTTAAACATTACAGCATTCATACAACTTATTGGTTTAAAAGACTTTACAAATATACTTTGCTCAATACAAATAAAACAGGCTTTTAAGAGCCCCTAATATACATTAAAAAGGGTCATATTTGGGTTTTAAGGGTCTCCAACAACATACTGATATGGATGCAAGGTCAAAAAACACTTTCATTAACCTAATTGTCCCAGTGACTCCCATATGAACCGTTCAGCAATTCATTTGTTCCCAAACCCCTCCTTAGCGTGAAGCTAACCTGCGCTAATTGGACTGATGACCGCCTGATGCAATTGGTGGACAGCATTCAGCGCGAAAGTGAAGTGCTCCACGCGGCTTATCAACAATATTGAAGTAGTTACAGTGCATAGTGTGTGTAAGCATACCTGCCAACCCTCCTGTTTTTTTCCCGGGAGTCTCCTGTATTTCAGACCCATCTCTAGCCACCCAACCATTTTGTTATTTATCCTGGAAAACTCCCGTAATTTCAACCAGTTAATTTTAGGGTCTGTCAATTCCCCGGTTCACCAGCACTGGTATAGGATCCGATTGCAGCAGCTGCCCGAAACACGCTTCATAGTAGTTAACTTACATAGTAAGTTAAAAGAGGTTCTCAACAGTGTTATTCAGACACCAGTCTCCCAGATTTTTGGTGCGTGCATGAGTGCATTAAAGCAGTGCAGTTAAACACCAGCATATTGCTCTATTCTTAAGCATGACACACATTCAGTATTTATCCACAGTGGCAAAAGCTAAATTATTCTGAACCTTGACCGCTGCACATGTGTAAGAACTGCTGACGGTGGCCATAGCAATGACAAAAGGCAGCAGATCATGAGCTCACAAACGCATTTAAATCCGTAAAACAAAGTGTCACACATCACATTTTCAATGTGGCCTTAGACGCGATAAGAAGAAATAAGAGGATAAAGAGTTCACCAGATACAGTACAATCGGTTACAAGTAACAAAACACAATTAAATGCATAATTTGTAAGCTAGAGAAAACAAGGAGGCAGCCATTTACTTACACTTGTGAAATGGAGAAAGAACTAATCCATGATCCACTGATCCATGTACTGACATAGTCCTTTACATCAATAGTCTTTTCTGATCCTTCCTTTAACAAATGGCCGATGAATCCCCCGTTGTAAGCGACTCTTCACAGTTTCATCTTTGGGTAGAGAAAATAACACTAACTTTTCCTCACACTTCCAATAATATCCAGCTGAGCAGAGCGTGACTTAATTTAACTGGCGTCTGCTACAGTGTGTATCTAGCTTTTTTTTCTTGTATGACTATCCTAGTGGGCGGGCCGTAGGTTTAAATTTTTCTGGGTTTGTGCGCGCAACAAATGGGCGGGGCTTAAGTTTCACATCGACATCACACCGAAGCGGCTAAAGACTCGTTATCAAGATGATTCATTTGAAGTACTAGAAGTCGACTCTTTTATAAATGAAACAATAGTTTTAAACACGGTGCACTTTCAGGTTTAAGCCTTAGCTGGATATTTCACTTCACTTAGAGCTGTTACAAACTACATGGAAGGTCATTCTCAAAAACCCATCATAGGGGCTCTTTAATAAAAATTTCAACAAATAAATACTCTAAATGTGTTTATGCCTTTATAAAAATGTTCATGGTAATGTTTATATTCTCCGTCCCATTTAAGGAAACTCCTTACAAGTTAAATCTCTGAACTTAAATAAAAAATCTATATAAAATGCTGCGCTTTCCACCTCCTTTATTCAGCCGCAATGAATTATGGGACTTCTAATGTTAGTTTTGCTCTCAAGTCTGCATTAACGCATCCTTGAAAGCATCCGGGAACTTTCATGCATCCTCCGTTTTTGCAGTCTAGAGTTTTGGAACTGTACTTTGGCATTTGATGATGACATTACATGACAACACGAGGACTCAAGATCGCTGAAGTACGTAATTATTTTCAAATGCACAGCTATAGTAGTTACAGGCAGGTATTGAATACGATACAGTTTCATATGACTACGCTGAATCATTTAATATATATTTCAAAGGTTGTTACAGCCTACATCAGAAAAAGAGCAAAATTGCTCAGAAAATGTTATAAAAATTCCATGTTTTTCCTACAAAATTACTTTTTATCTTTGCAAAGCACATACGTCTTTCTCCTAAATTCTCTTCCATACAAACACACATACTGTATAGCTGTATTTCTCAACCACGATCTTGGAGGACCACCAACTCTGAACATTTTCCATGTCGTCTTAACCAAACACACCTGATTCAGATTATCAGCAGATAATTAAAGACCCGCAATAGGTGTGACAGACAAAGGAGTAATCCAAAACATGCAGTGTTGGTGGTCCTCCAGAAACGTGGTTAAGAAACACTGCTGTATAGCACAAATTTGGAAAAATTTGCGCTTCAACCTAGCCTAATCATTCAAATAGTTCCTCTACTAAAGAGTGATATGACATTTGACAGTAGTGAGTTGCTGTTCTGGATGCAGTTACATTTACCAGTTTTGCTATTAGTAGAGATGCTGCTGCTGCTGAATGCTGGTGAGATGCAGACTCAGGTGATTCACACACATAATCCCGCACTCAAGCTCTCTCTTACCAATGGTTTTGAGAAATTTTTATTTTCAGCAAGGATGCATTTAGTTAATCAGGAATGTCCAAAACATTTATAATGTTAAAAAAATAACTTGTAAATATTCATGATTGTTTTTCCTCACATTATTAAGCACAACACTGATAATGCGTTTTGAGAATTAGCATAAAATAATAATTTCTAAACGTGACCCTGAAGACTGGAAAACCAATGCTGAGATTTCAGCCTTGCATCAGAGAAAAATATCACATTTATATTTTATTTCACCAGTATGGACCAAGCCACACTTCAGGCTACACTTTATTGTAGGGGTGAAAGTGGTGGTAGGGGAACAGTGGGATAAAGGGCAAATGATCTAAGAGGATAAACAGTAAACATAAATAGAGGGAAAGAAGGTTGTAAGAACAGTGCTGCCTTAAAGGGCCATGCACTCCCCGCGTCTTTTTTAAAAGGAGACAAGTGGCAATTACGGATTTCATCATTTCCAGATTTAAAAAAAAACCTCTTGGGTAAAAAAATAAAGTATTCCTTACAAAAGTAGTTGTGTCGCGTGTTAGCAGACACTTACTTTGCTCTCATCGCAGAGAAATGGAAACAAAACCTTCATTGCAGCACATTTATAAACGCAACACTGACTCATGTCTTCAAACAATTCTTCTTCACTTGTTTTAATTACAGTTGGCAACACAATGTGGCGTCTCTCTGCCTTCTGAATATTGTAACAGGTAAAAACAGTCTTCGAAGCTATATCATGCATATTAATCAAGTTGCACCTCTTACACAATACAGCTTGCTGATTGGTTCGAACCAAGTCTTTCACTAATGCTAATGCACTAATGCATTAATGCTGAAATCTCAAAGAAGTCATGTTGTACCTACCGGTACAGACAGCCATTCTCTAAGCTGGAATGTACACAATGATCTCATGACCGTGACGTAGCTTTAAAATTTATTTTCAAACCATGAGAATTAATTAGCTTAAAATAATGCCAAAACAAAAAATGTTCAATTTGTAGTGAAATATATGTGTCCTTATAGTGTTTTTAGCAATGTGGGACACATATATGACTGTCAACATCTCAAAAAGAGTGTTTTAGTGTTTCGCGACCGTTTAAATGAGTTTTTTGGGAGTAGGTGATTGGTTGAGACAAAGAGAGGCGTAGTTCCACATCCCTTTCCACAACCATTAAATATAGAATTGTTTGGTTTAACATGCTAAATAGTTCACAATATTATTGTTTTAAAACTATTTTTGACCATATTAATGCATCCTTGCTGAGCAAAAGTCTATGAGCATGATACATTTTTAAAAATGTAAAAAGCATTACAGAACACAGAAATATTTCCAAAATTGTATTTTGAAGACAAGTGGTGCTTACAAAGTTTTTTTTTTTCAAGTGATGACATGAACAACCCTGTTCAAACTGACTTTTGTACAGTGTATGAAATTCATTTATAGCAGGCTTATTAACCCTCAAGTGTTTTTTTTTTTTACTTAATTTTTGAGAGTGGAGCTGGTTACATGTACACAAACATTAATCCAGGACTGATTCATTTACTCTTTTCTTAGCAGTCACTAAATTGCAGTCCATTTTAAAAACATCAAAAAGTCCTCTGCCGCTCCACTCCTGTCAGCCTCAGGTTAAATCTATCCGCAGATGTTCTTCAGGTTTGGTCCTGGGGCGGCCCGCGGTGGAGACGCAGCTCTTGGCGTAACCACATCCAAACAGCACTTGGCCCATGGCGCTGGAAGAATAAGGGAATCCCATGGACGAAGCCACGACTCTGGAAGAGGCTCCTCCAGGAGTTTAACATAAACGCCACATTCAGCATTTTCTTCACAGAAGAAAAACCCCTCTTAGGGCCTGTGAAACCTACACAAGAAGACCGAAATCAACAAAGGTGTCTTTCACAATCACGAACAT